GAACTGTGGGGCTGCAGTTCATCACCACAAAGTCACTTCCAAATTTTACACCTGAGTACATGACTCTGATTCTTCCCTGCAAATATATGAGCTAAAAATGCACCACTAAGGTCTGCAAAGTTCATATTTCTGAATCTGAATTAATAAGCACAGACCGTTTCTGTCCCATATTTGATCACTTGCAATAAGTGGCAGTTTCTTCATCTAAAAAAAGGGCAGTGTTTTGGTACAGTAGCTCAAGGGCCACCCAGCAAAGGATTTTGTGGAAGTTGTTGTCAAGTTTTAGGTGTTCATTTAGGTAGGACTGACAATCCTTATAGAAAGGGAATAAACAACAAATAATGCTTTTGGTACGTGGGCAACAGAAAGGTTAATTGGTCTGGGCAGGAGTTAACTCCCAATAACTGCTGCTGGGACAGCACTGCCTGCTCAGCCTGCAGGGGAAAACCTGCTCAGCACCTACCCCTGAAAGACATCGGGAATCAAATTAATTCAAAAGCCCAGGTGTGGGGGGTGGGGAGTTTCTCTGGCAAACACGGAAGGTGTGAATTTTACACTGCGCGAAAAAAAGGGGAATATTTCAGCGAGGAGCTGCAAGTGCAGCCACCACAGCTGCTCAAGGAAGTCAGGCACTTCGAGACAAACATGACTAATTAAGGCCATTTTATGCCCAAGCACATGTACACTTAATCACATGAAATATATTTTTTTTCATGTGTAATCTCATTCCCACTTTGTCTGCTAACGGGCTCCTTCATTTGTATTGTAGGCAGAGTAGCTGTTTTACATCTTTGTGAACTCTGCTTATTTTGAAGCTCTTCAGCCCATTTTTGCAGCCCTCTGCAACCTCACCCTTTTCTCTGACAGAAACTGAAGAAGGAGGAGAGCAGAACCTCTCCCATATTCTTTTCAGGGTGTGGGGATACAGAGATTAAGGGACTTGCCTAAGGCTGGAGAAGGAGTTTGTCAGTCACAAATGAAACCCAGCTCCCCAGAGTCCATCAGAAGACCATTCTCTCCTGTGAATTAAACCCCATCATTAGTCTGCTCTGCTGGGACCTGGCTGTGCCAAGCAAGAAATGTAAATATTTTGTAGCAGTAGGTATTAATTTGTAGCATTAATAAAGTATGAGCCACTGAAAACTGAATTGGCTCTTTCTTATGCTTTGCCCCATGTCCCAAAATATTTTGATCTTTGGATATAACCACCAAACAAGCTGCAAATTCCCCGCAGCTCAGATCATACCCTTCCTATTCACCTTGGGAGAGTCAGAGGGGAAATGTGTAACCTGCAGAGGTTTTCAGCCAGGGCCCAGCAATGCTTCAGTCTGTACAAATTGTCTGGGGTTCATTTCCACACCTTTTTCTAAAATTCTTGGGGTTTCAGCACAAGGGAGAGACCTTTCCCATTAATTCGTGCAGCCACACAGGTGGTGAGTTACCAATGTCTTCCTTCTGTCTCTCCACTGAGCATCTCCACTGTAAATAGCACATCATCCACTCACAGGTCAACCTTGGCTCTGCCTGGACCGATGACAAGTCTGGGGCTTGTAGGAAGGGCATCCCTTCCCATCAGAGAGGGGCAGCAAAGATCCAGGCCACTGTGAGGGAAAGGCTGCTACGCCTCCACCCTGGGCTGCATTTCAAAGGCATCACTGACACAAGGGAACAAAGCACAATATTATTCTTTTCATCTTGTTTTCTAAGCCGACAGTGAATAGAGAAGGCTGCGGAGCTCAAACCACTGCGTTTGATGAACAGCGTCTCAGCAAAGGGCCAAAACTATCTTCAATTCCAAGCTTAAGCTCCCATTAGGCAAAGAAAATTCAGCTCAAATTATGCTTATGTAGCACCTCTCATGCAAACATCCCGGGATGCTCCAGGATCAAACTCAAACACGATCAATCATGGAGATGTGAGCAGAATCCACCAAGGAAAACAGAGAGCAGGGGGGGCTCAGCAGGAATGAGCGGCACGGCTGCCGTGAGCCCTTGGCTCCCCCAGGGAAGGGCTGGGGGCTGTGAGGGCCACTGGCAGGCAGGGATGGGTGAGCAGGTGCCAGAGGGCTGTGGGAATTGCTGTGAGGCAGCAGGACAAGCTGGAAAGAAAGCAGGTGGATCCAAATGGGCTGTTGGTAGAGGGGTAAGTCATCCCCACCGAGTGTGTGGACGCAGGCTGGTGCTCATGGCAGCAAATGCACAGCCTGAATGTAGAGATTTACTCTAAATCTGCAGAACACCTGGACCCGGCTGAGCTCTGCTCACTGCCCTTGTGAGAATCGGTGATTTACAGGGATAATCCTCAGACATTTCAAGCTGGGCTGGGGATAGACACATTTCCAGCCCGTGCCATCAACTCTATTCATCTGGAGCAGGTGCCAAGCTTACGAAATCCTCCCGGCGTGTGGCAGACACCACAACACGCCTCATTAGCAGCCAGCTGAGCAGCTCCCACCTCCAGCGCCGGCACTGCAAACAGTCTGGGGATCACAGGCCCAAACCTGGGAGGCAAGAGGAGGCAAGGTTTCAAAGGCAGAGGGGATTTAGGCAGACAATGAGGGACTCTGTGAAACCTGCCCCCAGCCCCTCTCATCCCCGCTCGTCTGGGTGAGCGCAGCTGCCTGTCGTTTCTCATCCGGGGTGCAGTGCCGGGGCTGCAAGTGCTGGACCTGGCTGTGGCAGCCTCATTAAAAACAACGTCTAATAAATTGCCAAATGCCATTTACCCCGGATAACCCCCTTAGCTGAGAGTCCCTGTATCTGCTGGGGCTGCTTTGATCTGCCCTCTCAGCCCAGATGTTGTCATAGATTTGCTGACGATGATGTCGAAACTGTTTTGAAATGCGCTCTGGCAAGAAACACTTTCCCATCCCTGTCTCAGATGGGGCCTGCTTTTTTCCCCCGCTCTCACATTTTTCTTACTAAGGCCACTGGGGTGAATAAAGGCTCTTTGTTCATTGAGCCATTTCTCTGCTTGCTGGTGCTTTTTTTTATATTTTAAAAACTAAGCTGAAATGACAGCGGCAGCGGTTCAATAGATGAAATGGGTCTCGAATACCACAGTGACGGCCAGTGCTTGGACACCACTTTCATAAACATGGACAGTGAAAAGGCATGGGAACCTTAACAGCTCCAGAAATACCTTCTCCCTCTCTCTTAAGCCCCAGGAAAAATTAAAATAATTCTACTGAGTGAGAAAATTCTCAGATTTCCTCTTGAGTATCATGGTTATCACCTCCCTTTCAGAGGTGCTGGCACCCTACTTAGAGGTAGGCACAGAATCATTGTGTTCCACCAAGAACTGTTACATTAGTTCTTTATTTTATCTTGTTTGGGTCTACAGAGCTTAGTTTGTGTCCTCTTAGTTTGAGTACATCCTTATCAAATCCTCCAAGACTTTTCTAAGATTATGTTTTTCCTTTGTTGGGCATTTCGGGATACTGTGAGAAAAGTTTCTATTCCTCCTATCTATCTATCTATCTATCTATCTATCTATCTATCTATCTATCTATCTATCTATCTATCTATCTATCTATCTATTTATCTATCTATCTACCATCTATCTATCTAAATGAAACACTGGCTCTTACTATGTGAGACTTTGTATTAGTCTTAACTCATTAGGATATTAATGTAAGACACACTGAGAGGCCTTAAAGGACATCCCTTCAATGTGATCTTGCACTGATACATTTGAGGGGTGTTTTCCATCGGTCGAGCACGCCAGTCACGTGGCTCCAGGCTTCAGAGCCTCAGTGAGAGTTGCTAACACTGACACTCTGGGGTCCCGTTCAAAACTTCTTGGATGTTTAATGCCACTTTGCTTAGGAGCAGAATCCGCGCTTGAAATTAGCGGTTAAAGCTGTATTTTAGTTGTTTTTAAGATATTCGCTATTAAAATGCTGCAATGCCATTAGGAACGAGCCCTTGGCGAGCTTTTGCCGTTTTGCGAAGGAACAAATGCTTAGACTTTGGCGCCTGGACGGGAGTTCAGTTACTCTCACCTGCATAGATAATTCTGCATATATATAAATATATATAGATGTATAAATATAATATATAAATATATAAATTATCTATATAATATGTAAATATTTATATTATACATAATATAAATATAATATAATTACATATATATATATTTATATATTCTTTGGAGCATCTCTTCTTGACGCCCTGCTCCGCCAGCATCGCGCCGCCTGGAAGCGGATGCAGAAGCGCGTGTGCGTTCTCAGTGTTAAGAGGCGGGCGGGGGACAGAACCACGCGGCACTCCCGAGCGCAGCCCTGTCCCCGCGGGAGCGCGGACCGTCCCCCGCGGCATCCCCACGGACGCGGGGTCCGTCCCCCGGGGAATCCCCACGGACGCGGGGATTGTTCCCCGCAGCATCCCCACGGACGCGGGGTCCGTCCCCCGCAGCATCCCCACGGACGCGGGGTCCGTTCCCCCGGGGAATCCCCACGGACGCGGGGATTGTTCCCCCGCAGCATCCCCACGGACGCGGGGATTGTTCCCCGCAGCATCCCCACGGACGCGGGGATTGTTCCCCGCAGCATCCCCACGGACGCGGGGACCGTTCCCCGCAGCATCCCCACGGACGCGGGGTCCGTCCCCCGCAGCATCCCCACGGACGCGGGGATTGTTCCCCGCAGCATCCCCACGGACGCGCTGCCCGCGGGGCCCCGCAGAGGGCGCGGGGCGAACCGCGCCGGGCGCTGCCGGCGGGGGCCGGGCGGGGGCGCCCGCGGGGCGGCACCGGGAGGGCGGCACCGGGGGCGGCACCGGGAGGCCGTACCGGGAGGGCCGTACCGGAGGGCGGCACCGGGAGGGCGGCACCGGGAGGGCCGTACCGGGAGGGCCGTACCGGGAGGGCGGCACCGGGAGGGCCGCACCGGGAGGGCCGTACCGGGAGGGCCGTACCGGGTAGGGCGTTATCGGGGGTGTTCCGGGGTGTTCGGGAGAGGGCGGTACCGGCGGAGCCGCGGCCCGGGCGGACCCGCCATGGAGCGGCTGGAGCGCTGCGGGCGGTGGCTGCGGGCCGCGCTGGCCGGGGCCGGGTGCGCCGCCGCCTGCCCGCCGCGCTCCTCGCCATCGCCCTGCTCGGCTCCGCGCTCAAGGACGGCGAGCTGGTGCCCGACACGCCGCTGAGGAACAAGCGCAACCCGCTCAACGTGTGAGGAGGGGCGGGCGGGGGGCGCCTGGGGCCGGGGGTCCGGGAAAGACCCGGCCCGCGCTGGGTCGGGGCTGTGAGGGGGGAATAATGCTTTAAATGCGTGTTTCTGTGCTGTAAATGGATGTTTCCGGGCTTTAAATGTGTGTCTCTGTCCTCTAAATGTGTGTCTCTGTCTTTTAAATGGGTGCCTCCGTGCTTCGAATGGATGTTCCTGGGCTTTTAAATGGGGCTTTCTGTGCTTCGAATGGATGTCTCTGTGCTTGGAGTGAGGGTCTCTGGGCTTTAAACGAGTGTTTTCTTGTGTGGTTCGGATGGGTGTTCCCCCTGAGATCTCGACTCCCCTGAAGACCTGCAGGACTGGGAGGTTTCAACACCTCGGGGGTTTCCGAGGTGGCGGGGGAAGGATTTTTTTTTGAGTGAACTGATTGTTACTGAACTGATCTGTATAGAAAATGATTTTCTGAGCTGCGGAAAACAAGTCTTTTAGAATAATAGAATCGTAGAATGTGCTGAGTTGGAAGGGACCCACCAAGGATCAGATCGAGTCACACTCCTGGCCCTGCGCAGGGCACTCCAGCAATCCCACCATGTGCCTGAGAGCATCGTCCAAGCACTCCTGGAGCTCTGGCAGCCCTGGGGCTGTGCCCACTGCCCTGGCGAGCCTGTTCAGTGCCCAACCACCCCCTTCAGCATCTTTCCTAGAAGCAGAGTGACTGCCATCCTCTTTTAGCACTTGAGCAGTGACTTAACTGCCTTAGTCATTCTGCAAAACTGCGTTTGAACATTTTGGAAGGGCAGGAGGAAGTGGTGAGCTGGGCCAGAGCACGTGCGCCGTACCTTCTGCAGGTCAGAAAGTGAAGCTAAAATCGCTCTTCTCACCTGTGACTTGGGGAGTTCTGTACTTTATTGATTCACATTTGTCATTTGGTGACATGTAGGAGAGGAGCTGCTTTTAGTGTGATTGAAAGAGCATTGACAGGAACACTTAGAGAAATTGATCTTACAGTGAAGGCATGCTATGGTTCAGTTCTCCCTCTTAAACAGAGGGAGGTGATCTGCACTGACATTTCCTGAAGGAAGTTTTTATCTCTACAAATTACTTGCCCTGCTGGTTTGTCAGCAATAAAGTTGAAAGTAAAGCCTTTCTTTGCTTTTAAATAAAATGGGGATTTTATTTTCAATTGCTATTCCGTGGTACATCATTTGTTGCTTTTCAAGATTTTACAGGCATCACAGCAAAAAATTTCAAGGCAGAGAGTGAATTTAAGAGATGGAAGGATTTGTGTAAGCCAAAGGAAGGCTCTCGTCGGCTGAGAGGACAGCAAAGGAACACTGTGCTGCTTCATTTATTTATAAGGACATGAGGGGGGAAAAGCTTCGTGGGCTGATTAGGGGAAAAGAGCCAGCCCTTCTGGCTGTCTCAGTGTTAAGAGGTTGAGGTTCTGAAGGGCTTTGGAAGCAAAGAGGGAGGAAGGGTCACCGTGGTCAGGGTGGCAAGCTAAAAATACATCCTTTGGAGCTGCAGTTTGAGTAGGGCAGAGTTGAGCAGGTTTGTGGGGTCAAAGTGATTGCAAAACTGAACTGCAAGTCTGCTGCACCGAATGAGGGCTCTGGGGCCGGGGGAACGCTGCCTGGGGTAGGAGGACCTGGCCGAGGAAGGGTTCAGGTGTTGGGCCTCAGGGAAGTCCTGGGGAGAGGGTTAAGATTTTAGCTAGGCTGTACTTTGAGGGGAGGGCACGAGTGTCTAGCTCAGATGGTTCTGAACGCTGATCTCGAAAACTCGAAGCACCGGCGCCCACCGCGGCTGCTGTGAAGCTCCGCTCGCACTCATTTCACTCGCTCTCGTTTCACACGTGCTCCTTTCTCTTTGGCTTTTTTTCCTCTGGCAGATACTTCGTGAAGGTGGCCTGGGCTTGGACCCTGTGGCTGCTGCTGCCCTTCATCGCTCTCACCACGTACCAGCTGGCCCGGACCAAGCTGCTGTACGGGCGGGCGCGGAGCGCGCTGCTGGCACTGCGGCGGCTGAGCGCGCTGGCCGTGGGCACGGCCGTCTGGTTCGTCTGCACCCAGCTCTTCGTGTACATCGAGAACCTCACCGGGGAGTGCTCCCTGCCCGCCAGGCCCGGGGACACCCCCCGGCTCTACGCCACCAAGCGCGAGTGCCACCAGGACAGCGGCGTCTGGAACGGCTTCGACATCTCGGGGCACTGCTTCCTGCTCTCCTACTGCGCCCTCATGATCCTGGAGGAGGTGGCCGTGCTGGAGGGCCTGTCCATGGACCACAGCTCCAAGCTGCGCGTGGTGGTCAACGTGCTGTTCGTCTCCCTGTGCTTCCTCACCGTGATCTGGGTGTTCATGTTCCTCTGTACCGCCCTGTATTTCCATGACTTCAGTCAGAAGCTCCTGGGTGTGCTGATAGGTCTGTCAGGCTGGTATGGGACGTACAGGTTTTGGTATTTGAAGCCCTTTTCTCCTGGACTACCTCTTCCAAATATACCTTTGAGTTCAAAGAAATACAGCTACAGCAGATAAAGTAGGGTTTTTTTTTTAAAATACTGTGGATTTTGCTTTCAGTACTGGAGTAGTTGAATGTAGGAATGGTTACTGTATTTCCACTGTAAGGAGGAAGGTGATGGGCTGGAGGAAACCAAATCTGTACTAGCCAGTGGCTGGCAGGTGGTAATGAGCTTCTTCCTTGGGAGAAAAAAAAAAGGTACTGGAAGATGTCTGCTTTTGATTAGGAGCTGATGACTGCCATTGTCAGCAAAGAAATCAGAAGTTGAATCTGATTCTTTCGCTAATAAATGAAGGAGCAGACCCAGGGCCAACAGAGGCCTTTGCTCTTTAGGAGCTTACTGATCTCAATTATTTCTCCCTCTTTCCTTTTGATTCACATCAAAATATTGTGGATGATCCAAACCTCATACTTTTTTTGTAATGTTCCTATTTATATTGCCTTATGGGAAAGCTCTAATAACGACAGTGCTGCTAAGCATTGCAAAAATATCAATTGTTAAAGCAGTCCTGTTGTGAAACTGGAACATCTTGTGTTTTCAAGTGTTAAAAACACTAACTTGCCACAAATGCCTCATAGCTGTCTGCACCTTCTGCAGCAGAGAGTAAATCTGAGGTGTAATGTCTGAAGCAGACTGTGACTTTAAATTCATGCCTGCCTCTGAAAAGGGAACTCCTGAGAAAACAAGCCTTAACTTTCTCCTTAGGTGAAGTAGAGACAATATTTTGTGATTTTATTCTTGAGAGAAAAACCCTAAACTCCTTCCTAGAGTTTTGCTAAAAAGTCTAGTTATGAGGATTGGGGTTTTAATTTTTAAAAAATCTAGTGAGTTGCACACTTTGCAACAACAATTTCTTTGTTTTTTTGTTCTTTCTTCTAGAAGAACAGTGAAATTCTGGTGTTCTGAACAAGCTAGCTTAGCCTGCTGTTTCCCAAATAGCCTGCTTGGTTAATGAGTGAAATGCATTGCTTATCCTGGGAGCTGCAAAGCAGAGTGTGCTTGAAGCAATATTTATTCTTTCTTATCCAGCAATATCAATAAGCTACTTAATTTTGATTGCACATAAAGCTACGGCCACTTTTGATGTGGCTGGAAACCCACTACTGAAAACACTAAAATAAAACACTATTAGATAATGAATAGGGGTGAGATGGGTCTATTCATCATACCGATTAGATGTTTAGCATAGTTTTTATCTTGGAAAGCTTTTAATTATTTGATAAAGGCTTATTCGTGACGCGGTTGCACAAAACGTGCTTGATGGTGATGAGCAGGACAGCCAGGGGGGTCTGTGGGCACCTGCACTGACCCCACAGCGGGCTTGGGGTGGCTCCAGGGTGGCTCTGATTGCTGAGTGCAGGGTGTGAGGCACCGCAGGTTAATCTTGGCACGTTTTGCCATCTCCACGTCTCTCTCCCAGCAGGGGAGTGGGAGCGTTTGCAGTTAATGCAGCAGTGTTAGTTCCACACTGTGTTCTGCCTCTGAGGAGGGCTGAATTCACTGCAGTTTCCGCTGAGTTCAGTGGAGCTGGGTGTCCTTAGAAAGAACAAATCACCTCTTGGAAAGAAGCTGTCCAGGGGGTTGTGTATTTTCTGTCAAGTTCCTCTTGGTTTTTGTATTAAATTGCCTCTTAAGCTGCCTCTTTGAAAATTGCACTGATTAACTCATATTGGGTTTACCTAAATTTGTTTGAACAATGCAAATTTATTTGCAGACATTCTTTTGATGTAATGTGAGCCTGCTCCCAATAGAGTTAAGATAGACCACAAGCCACTCTCACCATGAAAAAGGATTATATACCCAGAAGGTTTTCTAATTAATTTCATTAAGTTTCTGTTTTAGGTTATCTTTATGTAACTTTGCTGTACAGACAAGCCCTTGGAACAGGAAATGCTGTTTGCTTAAACCAACTGACTCGCTGAAATGATGTTCATTTTCACAAATGTTTTGTGCAATCACTGTGGATATTTCTGTCCACTTTAACCAGTGTCATACAGATTATTGTTTGTTTTTTTTTAATGGAAATAATGTGGGATATGGTTGTTCTCGAAACTTTTATTTAAACAATGAAAGAAAAACATCTGAAAACTTTATCAGTGTTTGTGTCTTTGAGAATCTGTTTCTGATATCTGTAAAGATGCTGCTGTTGCTCTTCATTTCCCTGGATGCTCCAGCCTGCCTGTGTGTGGTTACTGAGGTGTGGGATCAGACTGACAGTGGTGATTCTGCACTGTTTGAAAGGGTTAACAGAGGTTCTCAGGAGTGCAGGGTATAAAAAGAAGCAGAACAAAGCCATGGCTGACTAAAGCAGGTTTCCCAATGTGGGCCTGTTACACCAGGCAGCTCATTTCGTAGAGCAAAGGGAAAGCCTAATCCAATGAAATACATGGGAACATTCCCGTGGGCTGGGAGAATGCTTAGGAGTTTGGAAATCTTGGTGACTCTCTCAGTACCCAGAGACTGAGTGCCAGCTCTTGGCTTAGAGAGTTCCCCTGAGCTCCAGACCTTTCTGTGTGCTTTTTGGCAGGGTAGGAATCTGCTTCCCTGCACTTCAGCTGGAAACTAAAGGTTGCACATTTTTTGCTCACGTGCTTCCCATCCCGTTTGTCTGAGTTCCTTTCCTCTCCCAAATGCACTTTTATCATTAAAATAAAAATGCAGCCTCTACAATGGGATTTGCAGCCACAGAGAAACAGTGCTGGGAGCAGCTGGGTTTGGTGTCCTGTGCCAAAGGACACAAATCAGCTGTCAACAAGTATCACTGATTTGTTTCACGTTCTGGGTTTTTTTGCTTTTCTGCATTAAAGTCTCCCTCTTATCCCCACAGAGCTGTATTTCTGTGTCTGTAGAATTGCTTAGGGAATTTTTGTCTCCCAAGACCTTACTAGCATATTATTTATTTCAACATCTGCCTGCTAATTTTTCCCTGCCTGTCTTTGGCCTATTTTTGGGCTCTGTTTCACAGTTCTTTCACAGAATCAGCAGTTGGCCTGGCTGATGTGGGCAAGGCAAGTCTTGGTGCCTCAAACATTTTCCTCTGCTGGGAACAGCAATGAAAGGAGTCGTGGTTGGAGCACAGCGGGCTGAGTAACCGGCTTAGGATTCATTTCACTCTTCACTTTCCTGGGACTCTTTCAAGTGTTTGCGTCACTGGAGGCAAGACCAGCAAACAGGAAAGTTGAGGTCTTTCGTAAGAGCCACGTGAGCAGTTCAGGCTTCAAACACACCTGAGCCCAGGGTTTGATTCTTCCCCAAAATCTGTTCAGAGCAAACTTGGTCCACGAACTCCCTGCTGGTGCTAAATGGTGTTCCTGGTTTGCCAGTTTATTTGTGTGTGCTGAGGCTTGGGTTGTGGGTGGCTGCAAAAGAAAAAGAATCCTGTTTTCTGTTTTGGTGTGTGGCATTTGGTGAGAGTGAGAAACACCCAGTCATGCCCTGAGGTGCACTTTAATGGGAAAACCTGTAAGGGCTGCTGGGATAGATTAAACATTGGGAAAATCAGTCTCTAGCTGTGAGTACAAGTCTGTGGTCACTTCCCTCAGTGAAACAGTATCTGATTTTTCCACTGTAGCTTAAAGTAAATCCCTGCAGCTTCTCTGCACTCGGCCTTTTCCAGCTCTTTGATCAGCCTGTGTTTATCTCCATTTGCTCAGAAACCTGTTTCCTGGGATTATTCCTCTCAGAGCTTCATCTCTTCTCCTGGAGCATAGATTAGTAATAAATGCTCTTCACCTCTGCTTGATGTGTGCTCTCTCTCGGTGTTTTGCCTTCCCTTCTTTTAAGTGTTTTGATAAAGCTCAAGATGAAAACAATTAATAGAAGCAAAGAAAGGCTGTTGTGACTCTGAACTCGTGTTCAGCTGCTGTTAAACAGAGCTGGTCTGTCACTGTGACGGTGTTTACCTGGAAAATAGCACGTGCTTTATTTATTGAAGCACAACTACACCTGATGTGCTTGAGCTCGGGGAGGGAAAGAGGGTAATGTGACAGTAGAGCTCATACATTGGTAGAGTTCCCATGGTTGTTGGGGAGTAATCACTGCTCTCCAGTAAAGGGTGGTTTCACCAAGTGTTTAGGAGGAAATTATTAATTTGAATATGGGAAGAGTACCTTAGTGCTTAAATGAAGTGTGGAATGAGAGCATAAAGGTTACAAGCTGGAAAAGCAGAAATGCAAGTGACTGTCAGGGCTGAGTGCAGTCCATGAAATATCAGCCAATTATGTAATTGTGATATTTAGTCTGAAAGATTATTTATATTTAAGCTGCCTCCTGCCCATCACAAAACACAGGCAAGTGCCACGGGCATTCAGAACAGGCTTGAATAACTTCTCTGTGAAGATTTGGGACTAGAACATGGCACAGAAATGAAGAGGTAGGTGAAGAGCTTTACCAGCCTTTCAGGGGGTTGGATATCACGGGAAAGCATCACTCAAAAAACCACCCTTTTACGGACAAGGTGTGCAAGGGCAGAAGATCTGCAGCTCTACTGAGGATCTCCCCAGTGGTGAAGGCTGAAGATAGGAAAGCATGGAACAAGAATAAATACAAATGAGGATATTTCTCCAAAGCCTTTTCCCCATGTCCAGTCTGGGTTGATTTTTTGCAGCTTTGGGCCGTGTGTGCCCTCGGCCGTGCCATTTAATGCGTTTAATCCGTGGGAAGCTCGGCCGGTGCCAGAGCAATAACGAGGCACGGCCTCAAGGTAAATGTCAGCTCTTCTGAAGTGCCTTCCCTGATCCTGTGCTGCCTGCAGAGCCTTCCCCAGCCCCTGGGGACTGTGCTGGGAAGTTGCACGTGGCGTGAACTGCTTTTTAGAGGAATGGGGGTGATACAGGTTTGAGTTTGTTTTTTTGTTGTTTTTTTTCTGTTGATCAGCCTGATTTGGAAGTTTAGAGAAAAAATTATACCAGTGGTTTTTTGTTGTTGTTGTTGTTGTTTATTTTGTTTCCTGGGGATTTCTGTTTGTTTGTTTTCAGACTTTTTTGTTTGTTTTTTTTCTTTTGTGGCCAAGCATCCTCTCTATTGCTGTTGTGTACTGGTTGGCTCTAAGGGCAAGGAATGGAAAGAAATTGCTTTCAGTAAGGAAAAATAGAAGAATGTTCAGGAGGGTGGTGGTGGAGGGACACGACCTTGTGATGTAAAGAGCATGTGCAAAACAGCACTTAACTATGCAGGATACTTGGTTCTGTGTCAAGAACTGCCTGCAGCATTACACAGCACCCTCAAACCTGGTTACACTCTGTTCTGATTGCAAAGTAGCTTTATTTGGATAACTCTCCTGGAGCTAAAAAGGATTTAGGTCGCTGGAGAGACGAGGTGCTGGTAGGAAAGGGCTGAGGCAGGAGGCAACGAAAGTGGGGGGGTGGATGGTGTTATTTTTAAAGAAATCTTTTCTAAGCCATTGATCTGTGCTGTTTGATAAGAGGTTTTCAGCAAGATCCCATCTCCTTCATTTCTTAGCATTTCATCCTCAGACGGTGGAAATGGGAGGTGCTGTGTCCACCGATGCAGAACTTGACAGCCCACAGGCCCCTGACAACAGAAATGTCCCTGAAGGTGGTCACGGATTGCCAGCTGCCTGTGACAGCAGAGTGACACCAGGGACTGCAGGAGACAGGAAAGGGGTAGCACAGCACAGAGGGGTAAAGAAAAACGGGGCTGAAAGTAGGTCACTGTGCAGAGGGGGCAAAAAGGAAGAAGAAAACCTACTGTGAGCTCCCAAGGAGTGGGTGGAGGCTGACACTTGGCTCACCGATGCTCTTCAGCACCAGAGTGACGTGGAAACAGAAACAATCTGCTCCCTGCAGGTAGAGCCTGGCCAGCAGCACAGCACCCACAGCTGCTGCAGGGATGGACACCTGTGTTCTGGCAGAGCAGTTCTGCAGCCACGTTATTTATGGCAGATCTGGCATTCCTGCTCTCTCTGGGAGCTGTTCAGTGCAGGCTGGTTTCTCTGTTTAATCCTTCAGAGGAAAGTGTGTCAAAAGGAGAAGGAAAGGCAATGATAGTGAACATGGCATCTGGGCACATTTGGGGATCAGCCTGAGGGGAAAAGCAGGAAATGTGTCTGTCATGAATGTGCTTTATCTGAGATACAAGTTCCTGTGTGTTTTCACTGCTGTTTATTACTTTACTTTCAGCATTAGAATGGCTTGGTGTGAAACCTCTACAATTTGCCCACCGAGGCCCTGCTTTGGGAAATCCTGCAGGGGTACAAATCTGGTCCTGTTCTCCACATTCACAGATGTTTTCAGTCTCATTCATACCTGTGGGTTTGTGCATGATTTACTGGTTCTTTGGTTATTTAGTTTTTAATCTCATATTATCATCTTTTATATTATCCCCCTCAAAATACTATTTTCATATTATCTCATATTATTTTAATCCCATATATCTTTCTGAAGCCTGAGAAATTTAGCTGCTGTCACTGCCTGCATTGTGGATCCAGTCTGGGTGGTTTTGGCTTTGATCTTAATGACAGCAGTGAGTGCCACCAAACACAACCTGAGGTTAAATATTTTCACAAGCTTTAATGTTTTCTGCCTGCCGTCCTTACGTGGGGAAATCCTTCATTTATTTTCACAGCAGAAAGGAAGTTTCCCCTCAAAGTTTTGCATTTCAGCACAGATACAGATTTTAAAGCCTACCTTTGAGGTACCTAAAAGCACGTTTGTTTCTAAAACACAGGGAATTTTAAGGATAACAATTTGCTTGGGTAAATAAGTACACCCAGAGTAAAGCCTAAGAAGGACCCTGGCTGGGGTGGGATGAGATACACAGAGGGGTTTGGTGCAGGATGCAATGAGAGCCGTTCCCTCTGGTGTCTGAAATACAAAGTAGCACCTCTGAGGTGCCTCAACTTCCAACCTTACCCCACACCTCACTGAGAGCAGAGCACAAAGCCCTGCAGGGAGAAAACAGATTTTTGCCATCATCTCCATATTTCTGTGTACAGAACACGCTCTGGGCAGCGACCGCCGGGCCAGGGCCTGGCTCATGGCCAGGTGGGGTGGTGGGCTCCCCTCTGCAGTGGAACTAGAGCAGAAAAGGTCTGGTTAGGCTGAGATCAGCTAGAGCAAGACCAGCCTTTTCT